AGAACGCACCGCCCCGCTGGGGCGGGGCGGGCTCGGGCAGGCCTCGCTCCTCCCTCATTCCTCCTCCGCTCCGCCCTCCTCCTTCCTCCTCCTCCTCCTTCTCCCGCCTCCTTTCTCCTTTGTCTCTTCCTCCTCCTCCTCCTCCTCCTCCTTCTCCTCCCTCCTCCTCCTCCGCCTCCTCCTCCCTCCCTCGGCGTCGTCGGTAGTTTCCTCCATGCAGTGGCCACCGCCCCATCCCTCCTCCACCTTTGTCTCCTGCTCCGCCTCCACTCCTCCCTCCCCCCGCCCTTCCTCCTTGGGAGTGGGATGCCGCAGATGCCAGGCTGCTCCCCCCCCGTTCACCCTCGTCTTTCCATCACATCTCCATCTCCCGTTTAGCCGACCACCTCTTGTGTGACCAGCCCATGGGGTGCGGGTCGGGCTGCGCTGTTGCTTCTGGTCCACCTCGGACCCGCCAGCACACGCACCAACATCGCGATTGCTTGCGGTTGGAAAGCTTCCCCCTATCCCCCTCCCCCATTTAGGCTGCTCTCCGTTAATCCTCCTACTACCCCTCCCCCTCCCCCATTTAGGCCGTGCCTGCTCCTCCTCCTCCTCCTCCTGCTCATCTTCCTCCTCCTCCTTCTCCTTGTCCCCTTCTTCCTCCACGTTTGTTCTCCCCCTTTGTACGTCACACTGGCATCGGTCGAAGAGACCGCGCGTCTGCGTTCTCCTCCTCCTCTACCTGCTCTAATCCGCCCTGCTGCCGCTCCTCCCTTTGACATTGCACGGGCTCTCATCACGATGTTGCGGCGCCTGTAAGTGCCGTCTCAGGCGAGGCAGCCTAGCACAAACAAGCACAAGAGACCTCCTGTTCCTCCTGTTCCTGCTCCTTTCTCTCTCTCCCTCCCTCCCTCCCACTCCTGCTCCTCCTCCTCCTCCGCCTCCTCCTCCTCCTCCCACTCCTCCTCCTCCTTCTCCTCCTCCTCCGCTTCCACCTGCTCCCACCTGACAGTTCCTTTCAATTTACTGAGGAATCGCGCTCCCGCTAGGGTCGTCCTTGCAATGTATCCAAGAATCGCGCTTTTGCTTGTGATTTCCTCGCCATCTATTCAGGCGCCACGCCCTCGCCATTCAGGAATCGCACGCTCGCGTGGGATTTCCCGATCATTTACGTAGGGATCGCGCTCTCGTCCGAAGCGTCCTGGCGAAGTACGCTGGAGTCGCGCGCACTAGCGTAATCGACGAGTTTTTTCCAACTGAAGTGCCCCTCCCGGGGTTCGCTGTGTTCTTACCGGGGAAATCTTCCTGCTCAAACTGTGACCTTGGCCCCCGGTTTACAACAACAACAACAACAACATTCGTTCCCGCCTGATATTTCTTTGCAGTGTATTGAAGACTTGTGATGTCGCTGGGGATTTGCTTGCAATGTATCAAAGAATCGCGCTCTCGCCTGAAACTTCGTTGTCAATTCTTATTGTTCAGGCGTCGCGCTGTCGATACTCAGTCATCGCGCTGTCGCCTGGGACTTCTTCGCAATTGATGCAGGCGCCGCCCCCTCGACGCTCGGGAGTCACGCTCTCGCTTTGGATCTCCTCGCGAGATTAGTTTGGTAATCGCGCATCAAGGCTTCCTCGCGATTCATGCGGGACGCACGCTTCAGCAACCCGCCTGCTCGACCTGGCCGCTTGGGCCCGCCTGTTAAGGTCTACCCGCCCGATCTGCCCGTTAAGTTTTGCCACGTGTTTTCTGTTCTTAACCCCCCTCCTGCTACTCTCTCGTGCTCCATGCTCCTCTCTACCCAATGCCCCTTCCTTCCATGCGTTCTCTCTCCCCCTGTGTCAGGGGCTGCGCTAAACTCACGTGGCAGGTCAGGAAAATATTCCCCCAAGGGGGTACGATCGAAGACGACAAGGGTGGGTATCGAGGGCTTGGGACACACGTGTTGAATGGCAAGCGTTCAGATCAGAGCGAAATGTCTTAGCATGATTGTTGTTGCTCTTGTTGTTGTAGTCCAGGGGCCAACCGCCCATTTTGGTGACACCTCACTATCCCCCAACAAAACAGGACGCGAGCCCTGGGAGAAACACTATAATTGAAACATTCAATGGTTACCGGGCAGGTGGGAGCAATACTATTGTTAATGCAAAAACAACACCACCAACAACAATACCAACAACAGCAACAACACAACACCAACAACATCAACAGCTCCAACACCACCACTAACACCACCTAAACAATCGCAACAACACCACCAACAGCACCAGCAATAACAACAACACCAACGACAACAGCAAACATAATACTAATCACCGGACAGCTCGCCCTTTGGCCCCTCGCCGGCCGCACGCCAAGGGGCTTGCATATATACGGGCGCAGCACCGCGCTGGATACGATGCATTCGGCTGCATCGCGTGGCGCGTGGGTGCCCGCACCGACCACGACTCGTTTTCAGGCCGTGCCCCCAACTCCCACCTTTTGCCTCCTCCTCCTCGTCCTCCGTACTCCCTCTCAACCCTCCGCCCCCCGGTCGTCCAGCTCCTCCGGCTCCTCCTTCCGCCGCTTCCTCCCTCTCCTACTCTTTCCTCGTCTTCCGCCTCTTCCGCCCTCCTCGTCCTGCACCTCCCCGTCCTCGTCTTGCGCCTTCCCCTCGTCCTGCTCCCGCTCCCCTTCCCCGCCACTCTCCCTCCACCTCTCTCCAGAACCTCGGTATCCTCCCTCCCCCCCCGTTTCCCTCCTCCTCGTCCTCCTCCTTATACGCCTCCTCGTCCTCGTCCTCCTCCTCCTCCTCCTCCTCCTCCTTCTCCACCTCCTCCTCCACTCCTCCTGGGTGGGCACCCGCGGACAACGTCCCCCAAGCGCGCATAGGGTAACAGGTATAGGAGTGACGGGGCGATGCTGATCAGCCGAAGGCCCCGTTGCGTTAATGCCTGATGCGCGCCAACGTTACTGACATTTTCGATCTTGTTTGCATTGGTGCGGTTTCTCTCCGCAAACATGACGAAGTGGTTTCGAGCGGGCAGGCATGGTTCCCAATATGTACTAGCAAACACGCTGCGCTCCCATGTGGAAGAGCGAGATTGAGCGCGCGTGCGGCTGTGGGCAGGCAGAGGCGCAGGCAACGTCAACCGATCTTCAGCACAATGTCGAACGTGATCCATATTCCAACGCTGTGGTTGCATGATGCGCCCAGAACATCAGACCAACGAGTTCGCCGATCACTCGTGGCCGCCCGTGCGTGGCACATGGTGCTGCTTGGTTACGTGTGGAAAGTATCCTCGCCGCCTTGGCTTAAACTTGCCAGCGAAATATCCTCACACCCTTCGCTAAAAACTGCCAGCGACATGTCCTCACTCCTGGCCTGAAGCTGCCAGCGAAATATTCTCACCCCCTGGCCTAAAACTGCAAGCGAGATATCCTCAACTCCCTGTTGTTAAACCGCCAGCGAAATATCTTCACACCCTCAACGAAATATCCTCACCCCCTGGCCTCAAACTGCCAGTGAGACATCCTCAACCTCCTGACTTTAAACTGCCAGCGAAATATCCTCACACACCTCGCGTAAAACTGCCAGCGAATTATCCTCACCCCCTGGCCTAAAACTGCCAGCGGAATACCCTCGCACCCCTCGCTTAAAATTGCCAGCGAAATATCCTCACCCCCTGGCCTGTAACTGCCAACGAGATATCCTCAACCCCCTGACTGAAATCTGCCAGCGAACTATCCTCGCCCCCGGAAATAAAACTGCAATGTAACGGCTTTGGTGATTCAGTTCAGTTCTGTCAGTCAGTTCTGTGTTTTCTCGAAAATCAAATTTCAGGCTGCGCCCGTACATAACAATGACAACACCAGCAACCACCACCAACAACAATCCGCACCGTGGGTCCTCTATTCAGTCATGCGCCCAGGGACAGTGAATGGCCGTTCGGCCTCCTCAATCTTATGAGGAGCGGGAGACGGAGGGGCGAGGCGGAGGAGGTGGAGGTGGAGGAGGAGGAGGAGATTGAGGGCGGAGGAGGAGCATGATGAGGTAGGTGAGGAGAAGGAGGGATGATCGCCCTCTCCCCTCTCGTCCGCCCCAAGCGGTAACCTGACCGGTGCTGCCATCCGCAAGTTGGTCGCAGAGCGCGAGCGGATGAGGTCCCTGCAGGAGCGCGGACGACTCTCGCGGGGACAGAAGGGGGACTTCGATAGACAGTCATGTGAGCCTCGTATGCCTCCGTTATTCCATCATTAGCTTGCGCTTGCGTGCGTTAGCGCCTGGTAATCGTTGGGAAGTAGCAGATTTGCATCGATTTGCGGCGATTGGCGTCGATTTAGCGTCGACCAGCGTCGACCAGCGTCGATTAGGCATCGGTTAGCGTCGATTCGCGTCGGATAGCGTCGATTCGCAAGATGTAGCAAGACGGCATGGGAGGCTCGCGTGAGCTGCCACCGAGGGGGGGAGGGCGAATGGCATTCGGGCGCATGCCACCGTCCGCGGCCTTCTGTGTGGAGCATGAACATCCGTAAGCGCTCAGGCTTGCCCATATCTTTTCTCCTTCCTCTCCAGTGGGCGGGGCGGAAGCCCAATCGGAACTCAGCGCCTTGCTCCTGAAAATCAATAACCTCTTCGTCCGAACGATCATCTTGCACGCCGCCGTCGGCATGTAAACTTGCTCGGGACTTGCTGGCCCGCGGCGCCGTCGCCTCGGGCCTGGAGCAGAGGTGGGTCTGTTCGCCTTGCTGCCAGGAGCAGAGGGGGACCTCCTCCCACTCCCTCTCGCCCTCCTCCTCGTCCTCCTCCTCCTCCTCGTCCTCTTCCTTCCTCGTCCTCCTCGCCCTCCTCGTCCTCCTCGCCCTCCTCGCCTTCCTACTCGCCCTCCCCGCCGTCGCCTTGGGCCCGGCTTGGCCGCCGTTTCGCTGTTCGTCTGATGCAGCGACCTCCGCTCGCTGCGGTTCTCGTCACCCCCGCGGGGCCCCGCCCTCCCTCCGTGGTGCACGCGGGCAGCTGCCCCGCCCTTTTTTGTTTCACCAGGATGTCCATCTGCATGCCAGCCGTTCGTGTATAAGACGCGTCTCCTGGTAAAGTCATGCGGTACGGGTTTAAGTGCTTCGTCTGGCTACAACACAGAGTTCATACATCCTCTGCTCTGTGCTCGCCGGACTACAACCGCAAGTGCCCACAAAGTGTAGACAAATTCTAAGACACATGTAACGTATGAAGGTATATCAAGTGTTGGCCGTAAAACGGGGCCAGCATCCTAGCAGATCAAGTGTCGTCTCTCTTCTTTGCGCATGTGGACCGTAACGCGGGGCCCACTCCCTAGCATAACCGAGGCCTCCGTCGTCGGAGAGGCAGGGCCGAGCTCGCGCGCCCAACCGGGTTGCCACGCACCACCTCGGAAGGCGAGGGAGGGGCAGCAGGCAGACCTCGAGACGATTGGGCAGAAACTGGCCCAGAACGCGTCTTGGGACCCGGACTCGGAAGATACGAACTCCCAGAAGTTCGTATCCGGGTCGCCCTCCGGACGCCCTCTGCAAAGCTCTCGGCGATTGGCAACTCAGAACAGAAATCGCCCTCCCAGGGGCCCGAAGTAAATGTCACGGAGTCGGTGCGTCAGAATATATGCGTGCAACTGGTATCTTGCAGCTGCCCTGCCCTGCGGGCACCCGGCCTTGTCAAAACCTCGGAGCCACGAAGGTAAGGCGAAGTTGGGCCTCCAGCGCCCCCCTCCGTGCCTCCCTCCGCGCGCATGCCCGGGTCCAGGCCCGCCCCCCCGTACGATCGTTAGCGTTACCCAGGGGGGGGGGGCCGGTATTGAGCGCTGCCCTGGGGTTATGATGTTCCAACCTACTTTAGCTTTGATCACCAGAGAGGTTTTTGAGTCTTAAGAAAGGACCGAAACTGAAGGGTTTTCGCGCGTCGGGCCCTGGGAGGCGATATTCGTTCGACACTGTTTCGATACTTTCCTGGGTGCTCGGAATGATCCCTGGGATGTGGTCCTCAAGTATGACGGGAGCAGCATGACCCTGGGGAGGAGCAGCAACCACAACTCGCGCACGACGAGGCGGGCGACAGCCCGCCGACCTCGGCAGCTGGGCCCCGCGCCCGCGCGGGGGCCGCTGGCGCCCTCGCGCCGCTGCCCGCGGGCCTCGGGCACGTCCGCCGCCGTGGGGCGGGTCGAGGGCGGGGCCACGGGCGGCCTGGGAGGCGCGCTGCTTGGCCAAGGAGTGAGATGGCTGAGCCTTCTTCCGAGCGATAGGCCGAGACTTCTTCCGAACGATATGACGAGCCAGCAACACACACTCAGAGCCCCGAATCATCAGGGGTAACTCGGGTCAGGGTTAACTCGGGTTCGTTTTTCGGGAATCCGAACCCGAGTTACCCTGGGCCCGAGTTACCCCGCATTATTCGGGCGTCCAGAGCTCCACATCATCAGGGGTAACTCGGGTCAGGGCTAACTCGGGTTCCTTTTTCGGGAATCCAAACCCGAGTTACCCCGGACCCGAGTTACCCCGGATAACTCGGGCGCCCAACACACCCATACCCATAGGGGGGTCGGAGAGGGCTGTGGGTGCGTGTTGTCGGATGGGGGTCCACGCTCGAACGGGAGCGTTCCCCAGGGTCCGACAACCCGCACCCATACCCATAGCCAGTCCTCCTCTCAACGACTCCCCTATGGGTATGGGCGTGTGTTGCTCGTTCGTCACGATAGGCTTCGGGAAGAAGGGGGGCGCTGGAAACCTAGCGTCGCCTCACCTTCGTGACTCCTAGTTTTTTCAGAAGGCCAGGTGCCCGCAGAGCGGGGACGCTGCCCATGTACACCCTGAGCCCTGACCCCCGACGTCGTCTCTTCTCAGGGCCTGGCCCCCCAGAGGTCTGGACCCCGTCCAGGGACCGACCTTTTAGCCCAAGTGTTTTTTTCACATTCCTGGGGCCCTGTGAGGGCTCCCAGGGGCCGAAAACAGGAAAACCTTGCATCTTGTGTTCTCCCTCGCGCGGGTGGGCTTCAAGGTCTGGGACCAGAGCTTCGAGGGGGCCCCAGCGGCAGACGAGGAACCCGCAAGGAGGCCCAGACGGGGTGCACATCGTCCAGGCTCCGGGCTCCGGCCGCGCGGCCTGGGGGGGCACGGCCCTTTCCTTGCCCCCCTCTCGCTTCCCCTCGTCCGCGGCCTCCCCTCGTTCGAACAGGACGTGCCATGCTTGTTGTGTGTTGTTTCTCCCCCGCCTCTCTGCATCGCTCCCCCCTCCCCTTCCCGACCTTCTCCCGACCTCCTGCCCCTTCTCAGTGTTTCCCCACCTCCCCCTTCATCCCTCTCCTCCCTCCTCCCCCGCCGTCGTCCTCTGCCTTGTCCTCCTCCTCCTCCCCCCTCCGTCCTCCTCCATCCTCCCCCCCCCTCCTCCTCCCCTCTCCCCCTCCCTTCCTCCTCCCCACATTCTTCCCTCCTCCCTCCCTCCTCCACTTCTTCCTCCTCCTCCTCCTCCCTCCTCCTCCCCACCTTGCTCCCTTCTCCCTCCTCCTCCTCCTCCTCGTTGTCGCCACTCCCCTGCGTCCCAGGGGGCCCCCACCCCCCCAAGCGCGCGCAGCGGCGCCGGCAGGATTTCGAGGCCGCCGACGAGCTCCGGAGGCGCCGCGCCCCCCCCCCCCCCTCCCCCGCGTGCAGGGTCCCATTCTGTCTGACCGATCCGGCTCAATGTGGAGGTTCGAGGTTTGATGTTTTTCGGGATTCGATGGGGTAGCAAATCGTGGGAGCCTTGTGTACCCAAGCAAGTCCGTCCTTAGAGTGCGGTAGCGTCGATTAACGTTGGGTATTCGATGAGGTAGCGCCAAGTCAGGGTCGATTAACGTCGATTAGCGCCGATGTAGCGTCGAGTGGCTTCGACTAGCGTTGATTGGCGTCGATTCGCAAGAGCCAGCACGATGGCAAGTAGTTTCCCATGAGTTGCCATTGAAGGTTTGTGGTTTCGGGATTCGAGATTTGGGGTGTTCTCGTCGGTTCCTGGAGGTTTTTCTACCTCGGGGATGCGTCCCCGCAGCTGTGCCTCGCCGAGAGCATTCCGGGGGTGTTCGAATCGAGTTGTGACCCGGAAGCCGAGCCACCTTTAATCTATGTTGAATCGATCGATCCGATTTGCTAAGTATCGGTTCCGCCCTGCTCGACCCGATCCGATTCAGGTATTCTGGCGGCCCGATGTGGCCCAATGCTTGCGTGGCGTTGTTGGGCATCCTGGCGCGGGCGATGCAGTTCGATTCCGACCTCGTGCCGACGCGGCCCGATTCGATCCGATGTTGTGATTCGGCGCTGGCTGATCCTGCCAGCACGGGGAGAGGAGCGACCGCCGTCTACGATGCGATCGACTTGGCGGTGCTTGCCGATGTTTGCGCGTGGTATCGATCGATGTGGCCCCTAGGGCGCCGCCTTCTGGATCAACAAAGGAAACAAGTAGCCCCCCCCACATCTTCCCGATCCCTCCGCTCCCCTCCCCTCCCCCCTCCCTTGCCTTACCCTCACTGGCCATCCCCGTCTGAGTGCACCACTCCTTTCCTGCCGTCTTGCCGCCTCTCTCTCCCCCTTTCTCCCACCCCCCGGAGCCGCCGTCCCGATTCGAGGTTCTTGGTGCGGGTACCATGCAACCGCGAGCCCCACACGAGACAGCTGCCGTACGCGTCGGCCCGCGCCCATGGCGGCGTGAGGGCTCGGCCGTGCGCGGGACTCCATCGCAGCCAAGCGGCTGCTGCCAGGCGGCAGGAGCTTCCCCACGCTGCGCGAGGCAGGGCCAGCCTGTCATCGGCGCGCCAGGTCAGAACGCGCAGCAATGCGAGTACCGGCGAGGATCGCAGCGCCGCGCGGCGTGCTGCAGGCGCACCACAGCAGCAGGGTGCTGTCTGGCCGGTGCAGCAGCAGGCGTGGCACAGCATCACAGCAGCAGCAGCAGACGCGGCGCTGCTCGGCCCCGAAGTGCGGCCAGCACAACTCCGCCTCTCGTGAGACGCGCCACGGCTGCGGAGGTGCGCGAGGAGGGCAGAGACCACAGGCGGCGATCCTCCGGCCCGAGAAGGGGCCCCTGGTTCCCGGGCCCTCCCGGAGCCCGTGGCTGACTCCGCGGGTGAGGAAGCCTGCGTCGCTGCGGTCGTCGGCGCGCCCCGCCTCGATCGAGGTCCAGCGACGCAGGATCCGCACGAATGTGGCAGGCGCCCGACGCAGGAATCACCTGCGAGTGGCCCCCCTGGGCCGCGAGAGGCACTCCTCCTCTGTTGGGCGACGCAGCAGAACGGGGTCGTTTGCGCCGACATTGGCGCGCAAGCTGCCCGCGTAAGGTCGCGCGTGAGCGCCCTCGCTTCGAATGTGGTGTGCCGCGCTGGCGGCCGCATAAGTCACCGCGCAAGGTCGCTATGTCATCTCGCGTGAGACCGGTTCTTGTCAATGGAGGGCAACCATTGGGACCGGACAATTTACGTTTACTAAACGGCCCTGGGCGTTTACTAACAGGCCTGCCCTGTTCGATTCCTTCCCTGGGCGCGTTTACTAAACGGCTTCGCTTGTCGGGGTGATTGTTATGGTTCTGGATTTCCGGCCCTCTATCTTGATCGCGGCTCAATTGGATTGGGACCGCGGCTCCACCATCAGGGCCAGCTTGTGTGGAGCATGGCTGGCCCTGATGGTGGAGCCGCGGCTGCTCATCGTCGAACCCTTCGACGTCTGAGCGTCCCTGCTTCCTCTCGGCCGTTCCCCCCCCTCTTTGCCCGCCGGCGAATTCGCTAGTTAGTGCCCCCTTCCAGCTTCTCGCTGGAGCGGAGTTCGCCGCCTCGCCGCCGACGAAAAAATTGTGTGGAGCATGAGCATGGCCGCGAAGCCTTCCAACGCTGCACGCCTCCTCCGCCCCAGAGCTTGCCCTGTTGGGAGCGCTCGTACTGCCCCTCCTCGCCCCTCGCCCTCCTCCTCGCTGTCCCTCCTCGCCATCCTCCTCGTGCTCCCCTCCTCGCCCTCCCCCCTCGTCCTCCCTCTCCTCGTCCTCTCTTCGCCCTCCTCCGTGCTTTCCCGCCTCGCCTTCCTCAACGTTGGATCCCCTTCGGACTCTCAGGATCCTCTATTCTTCGTGCTCCGTCAGGCGTCCTCCTCCTCCTCCTCCTCCTCGCGGATTTTTGTTTTGAGTATTGTTCGCCTTTTGGGTTTATGTTGGGTGTTGATTTCTCCTGGCGGATAGCAATATCCGTAAGGGCTTCGCCCCCTGCCGCCGGCCTTCTCTCTCGGAGAATGGGCCATGGAAGAGCTAAGTCATGAGGCCTTGGCGCTGTCGTGAAGCAGTATCGAAACTTCATGCGAAGCCGATTCGCAATCAGCAAAACCAACTGATCACAAGAGGGGTTACCACACCTGGCGATTGGTAAGACGTGTATGGTTTACGGGCTTGGTTACCACACCTTGCGATTAAAGGGCCGAGGGAGTTCTCGCAGTTTGGGTTACCACGCCTTGCGATGGATGTGCGTGAAGGGTGGCACCGAATTTCAGAAATGTGGCAAATCCATGTGTTTTTGGTCCCTGACCCCACGGATCTGCGTAAGGGGTGGCGCCGAATTTCAGAAATGTGGCAAATCCCCGGTGTTTTTTGACCCTGACCCCGCGGATCTGCGTGAGGGGTGGCACCGAATTTCAGAAATGTGGCAAATCCCATGTGTTTTTGGACCCTGACCCCGCGGATCTGCGTGAGGGGTGGCACCGAATTTCAGAAATGTGGCAAATCCCTTGTGTTTTTGGACCCTGACCCCGCGGATCTGCGTGAGGGGTGGCACCGAATTTCAGAAATGTGGCAAATCCCCTGTGTTTTTGGACCCTGACCCCGCGGATCTGCGTGAGGGGTGGCACCGAATTTCAGAAATGTGGCAAATCCCCTGTGTTTTTGGACCCTGACCCCGCGGACCCTCGCGGATGCTGCGTGAGGGGTGGCACCGAATTTCAGAAATGTGGCAAATCCCTGTGTTTTTGGACCCTGACCCCGCGGATCTGCGTGAGGGGTGGCACCGAATTTCAGAAATGTGGCAAATCCCATGTGTTTTTGGACCCTGACCCCGCGGATCTGCGTGAGGGGTGGCACGAATTTCAGAAATGTGGCAAATCCCATGTGTTTTTGGACCCTGACCCCGCGGATCTGCGTGAGGGGTGGCACCGAATTTCAGAAATGTGGCAAATCCCATGTGTTTTTGGACCCTGACCCCGCGGATCTGCGTGAGGGGTGGCACCGAATTTCAGAAATGTGGCAAATCCCATGTGTTTTTGGACCCTGACCCCGCGGATCTGCGTGAGGGGTGTCGATTTCGAGCCCCCCCCAGCAATTCAGACAACGCGCCCAGGGGACGCTAAAAAGCCACTTTGGGCCTCCCCCCCCTCGCGCGGTCAATCAACTAGTTACAGTAACCAGCAATAAGTCAACTAGTTACAGTAACCAGCAAGAAGCAGAACTGTAACACTGGAAACTACAACCTACGACTGATACAGGAAACTGCGAATCACGGGCCTACAGCCTGGTGGCCCCACAAGGGGGCCGGCGGATATTTTGAGCATAATTAGCTACATCTCCAATCGGGTCGGCGCGTCGTCTTCGTCGCCGTCGTCGCCGTCGTTGTCGCGATCGTCGTCGTCTTCATAGTCGTTCGCAATAAGAGCTCTCCATACTTGTGGTGAGCGTGGTCGGTGTGCCGCGCGCGCAATTACTTTGCCACTCGTGTTCGCCTGTTGTTGGTTGGTTATGTATCCCTGCGGGTTTTGTTTTCCGTCCTACTGTGCACGACAGAACTATTTTCAGTTTGTAGGTGAAAAGATTCAAAGATAATTCGCTACACCTCCAATCTATTGGGCGCCGTGTCCTCGTCGTCGTCGCGATCGTTTTCGTCGTCGTCGTCGTCTTCACATGGGGAAGGGACCCAATGAATCCTATGTTTCCTTAGGGGCCCATGGGATTCCCACGGAATTCCTAGGACTCGCAAAAGCCCGGAGGAATCCCAGCAGTGGCCGCCTCGTTTTTTTTGTGTGTTGTTTCCCTCCCCCCCAATTTTGTTTTCGGTCCCAATCCGTCCGTTAGCCCGTGCGAAAGACCCGTGTGAGTTAAGCCAGCCCATCACCGCTAGCCCCCCAAGTGTCCCTGCGATAAGTATCAGCAGTCCAGTGGACAGACGCTGAGATCGCTCGCCCCCCCCTGCCGTTCCACTTTCCTCAGCCTCCTCTCCCCACTCCCCTCTACTCCTTCCCCCCCCTCCCCCCTCCCTTGCATCACCGGTCCCTCCCTTCTTTTCCATCTTACCCCGTCGCCTCTCCGTATGCCCCCCCCTCTCCTCTCCGTCCCCGCAAGTCTTTCTCCAGCTATTCTCCAACTGCGACTTCTATTATACCCCCCGCTCCAGGTCCTGTCTTGCCCTGTCCCATCCTGCCCCGATCCGTCCTCTTCCTCCGCCCCAGCTGTCTTTTTCCAGCCACAGCCGTTCTCCTCCCCAGGAGGGCGAGGAGGAGGAGAAGGAGGAGGAGGAGGAGAGGAGAAGAAAGAGGAGGAGGAGGAGGAGGAGGAGGAGGAGGAGGAGGAGGAGGAGGAGGAGGAGGAGGGAGTCGAGGTGAAACAGGGGGGCACGAGCACTTCTCCCTTCCCCCATCATTCCTGCTATGCCCCCCCTTCCTCCCCACTGCACGTTACCCTCTTTCCTCCCATTCTCTCTTTTACATTGTTTTGCACTTGCGCCTCGCACTCTCCCCTTCCTCGCCTTCATTTCTCCTCCTCCTCCTCCTCCTCCTCCTCGTCCTCCTCTCCCCTCTCCTCCATCATGGTCATACTTGGGAAACTCGTATATGTCTTGCACAGGACGGCCGAGAGTGATACAACCCACGGGGTCTCGGTTCCGCCTGGTAGGATTGAGCCTGACTGGTTTATGCGCCCCAGCGCCACCGCCTGGCCCTGCGCTGCGTAGGGCGGGCCCCCAGCAGGGACGACACGGGCGCAGCCTCTTGTCGCGAGTCTCCCTCCTCCCCTCTCTCTTGCTGCTTCTGCTTCAGAGTCACACTGACCATGGCCAAGATGTCCCGGCATCTTGTTGACGCCGATCTTGGTCATGATCCATGTCAGCCATCGCCGATTCATTGTGACCAAGATGGATTGTGACCAAGATCGGCACGCCGGTTCCGCGATCAGTCTTGGTCATCGTCCCCGTTTTCTTCGCCTCTATCTCTCTCCCTCTCTCTCGCGCTAGTCCCCCCCCACTCTCTCTGCCTCTTTCTGTCCCCCCCTCTCTCTTCCTTTTCTCTGCTCTCCGCCATGCCGCCTGCCCCCGATGCTCCTACCCCCCCCGCTTCTGGGAGGCAGCTGGCCCAGCTCGGCGTGGAGCTCTTCGAGCAGGAGGTGCCGAGGCGTCCAGCCTACAATCGAGGGAAGAAACGTGTGGACTATGACCAAGATGTCGTGGGATCTTGTCGATGCCGACCTTGGTCGTGGTCCATGTCGGTCGTCGCCCATTCGCGAGGATGATCCACGAATGGGCGCCGACCAAGATCGATGGGGACCATGATGACACGACGTTTCCGCGTTCAGTCTTGGTCATTGTCCCCGTTTTCTTCCCCGCCACGCAAACTCTCGGAGCTCCGCGCGGATTCCTCGGATTGCCGCTGGGCCCCCCCGGCGGAGTCTCTGGTGCCCCGCCCCTGGCGCGCTTTGCGCGCCAGGGAGGGGGGGTCCAGCGCAGATGCAAGAAATCCGCGCGGACCTCCAGCGACTTCTGCTTTGTTGGTCTAGTTTTTGTTTTTTGAAGTAAGCGGGCCATCGGACCTGAATCTCAACTTCGACCCAGTCGATTCGATTTGGTATCGGTTCTGGCTGGTGCGATCCGACTCGATGTCGACGTTCCAATGCGGTCCGATGCTTACGTAGCACTGTTGTGCATCCTGCAGCGCCGAACCGATTCGATTTTGATTTCCGAGCCGATGCAGCTCGATCCGACGCAGGTTCTGATCCAATCCGACTTCACGATTCGATGCTGACTGATCCTGCACCTGGGCGTCATGAACAAAATCACGACCCTCCCGGCGCCTCCCTTTCCTCGACAGGCGCTCCTCAAGAAGCTGGTGGTCCTGCTCCAGTTCTGGCCTGGGGGCATTGAATGATCGACCAGGCTCGAACACACCAGGTCTGACGGCTGTTTCCAAGTTGTCAGTTGTTTGGGGAGGGTGTCCTAGGCGTTTTTTTTTTCCATAATCATCGCCTGGAGGATCGATCTTCGGTGACCTCGGCAGGTGGTGGATATGAACGTATTCGGGGCCCGGGGGGCCTAAATATATCCATATCCACCTCCCCCTTGGGTCCCAGGACGCCGGTTCCCCAGGCGGTGGATATAGACATATCCCCGCCTCGCAGATTTGGCTGTGGTCAGCAGCAAAGCCAGCGAGACCAGAACAGCCACGGGTGTGCGGGAGTCACGGCGGGCCCCAGGAGACCCCAGGAGAATTTCGCACGCTAATTTCGCAACAGTGGGTGTTCTGGGTAGGTATGGCTTCGACGAGGGTCGGTACCATTCGGTGCAATCTTCTGTGGGGTATCTTGGCGTCCCCTTGGGGGGACAGGCGACCTTAGGAGCCAACGGCTGGCCTTTGGGGGGTCCATGGGCCACGAAGTACGTAAGGGGTGTACCGAGTCGAAGCTCCCTTGAGCCATCTGAGGGGTCGGCCGAGGGCCCCTTTGGAGTGTCTGCGGCCCCGAAGTGCGCGAGCAGGGTGCCGGCCTGGGGCTCCTTCGGCGGCCGTCTTGGAGGGTTGGCGGGTCGCTCCCGGAAGTCCATGGGGCACAACATAAGTGAGCGGTGTGCCGAATTGAGGCTCCAAGGTTTGAGTCCGGCATGTCCCTCTACAGGAGGAACATCCAGATAGAGTCAAAACGTCTGGGGACGATGTTTGAATTGTTTTGGTTATGTTTGGCGTACACATTAATTTCCCGTCCAGAATTCGCCTGTAGGCGGACATGCCCGACCTGACCCAAGGTGCAGTCTTGAGGGCCAGCTGAGCGCGCATGGTGCGCGAATTGTGTGATGGGTGCGCCGACTCGGGGCTCCCTGGAGAATGGACAAGCCGATCGCTCTTATTGACAATGTCTTCGAGGAGCCTCGAGATGCAAACCACTTGCATTTTTACGATCCCCTGGAGCCTGAGAGCGCGGACCATTAGTGTCTGCACGTGTCACAAGGAACCTGAAGGCGCGGATGCCTTGCGTGTTCCAGGCGGGTTCAGGGAGTTGGCCTTCTTCGGGCTGGCGGAAGTATTCATTTTTGCATTCATCTCACTCTTCTCCATGATCCTCCATCTCATTAGCCACCTTCGAAGCCGAGCACCGTGATGGCCCGCAGGGGGCCCGCCGAATTCAATCGCTTCGCTCACTCCGCCGGCCCATATTGCAGCACTGCTGCTATCTCTCGGTGTGCTCGTGGCGGGCGGAGGGAGGAGCATGAGGAGGACAATGAGCCCAGAGCTTGAAGCCCGATCGGCGTCAAAAGGAGGATGAGGACCAGTGTAAACCGAAGGCACATCAACCATGTTGCAGTAAACCCTCCCTCCAAGCTCCCTCTTCATAGGTCCTACAGGTATTATCATCATTGCGGGAAGTTCCCCATGGGAAGACAACCGTCTAATAATCCCCAATCGTGCCCAAATAATTCTTGGGACTCCAGCGCTGCGATTCAACGTTATTGTTGCGTCCTGACAGTCCTTACCGTGCCAGATCACCAATCCTGAGACGTCAACGCCGCGAATCAAAGTGACGGTTGCGCCCTGGCAATCGTAAACCGTGCCACGACATTAATTCTGGAACGTCAACGCCGTGAAACAGTGTGATTGTTGCGTCTAGACGCTCCTACATCGTGCCAGCACGCCGTTCTTGGGACTTCATCCAAGCGGATCCTTACACTGTTGCAAGTTTTCACAATGAATGCTCGCGGCGCTAACTTGAAAGCCAACTGTTGAAACTGAACCATCCTTCATCATTGAATGTGCTGCAATTGTTGAGACGAATGTGCGGGGCGCTAAGGCGAGATCTACATGTTGCAACCACCCGTCCCCCACTTGTGAACGTGTTGCGACCTTTTAAGACGAATGTGCGTGGCGCTAAGGCGAGAGCCACATTTTGAAATTGGCCCGCTTTCGTTCCGTGAAAGTGTTGCACACTTCAAGTTCCAGGACCGTGTCAAGAAGAAGTTTGTCGAACCGCCTGGTCCGTCCTACCGACACGTTGGGGGATGCGACAAGGATAACGTTCTTTATCAGGAAAAGGGATGGATGAGGAGGAGGAGGCGGAGGCGGTGGAGGAGGAGGATGAGGAGGAGGCGGAGGATGAGGAGGAGGAGGAGGGAACGTACGAGGAGGAGGAGGAGGCATCTGGATGGCTTCTTGTGGACTCCTGCGGCAAATCTGGCTCGTGGGCATGACGCCTTTTTGGGAGGCTTCTTTCGGTATCTCGGGAGGACTCTCGGCGGCGTGTTTTGGCAGCATCTCGAGGCCTCTTTAGGTGGTATTTCAGCTCTCTGGTGCCTTTGGGGGGCCTGCTGGCGGTCTCGGGGGCATGTTTTCGGGGAAGGGCTCGACATGTCAGGTCGGATTCTCCCTCTTTGGGCTCTCCTGGAGGCCTCTAGAGCCATTTTCGGTTGTATTTTGGGCAGTCTTGGGGCCGTTTTGGGCCGTCTTGGGGCCGTCCTGGGAGCCGCTTGGGCTGTCTTGAGGCGACCTTGAGGGACTCTTGCAGGCGTCCTCCGTCAGTCTTGGGCCCTCTTGGGCCCCCTTGGGGCCATCTGGAAGGCCTTTGGGTGTCTTGAGCTGGCGGACGCCCGAAAAGGCAAGAGCTTGAGAATCGGTAAAAAATCAACGTTGATGATCTGTCCCTCTTGGGGCCTTCTTGGGTGCCGTCGAGGAGCGCTCTTGGGAGCCGAGTGGCTGCTTGAGGCGATATTGGGCTGTCCGGAAGCGCTCTTGGGCCGTCTCGGGACCTTGGGAAGCGGGCACGAGGCCCCTCTTGGAGCGCGCCATTTTACAGTCTTGGCACCTTCGAGCGCCCTGTCCCCCCCCAGGAGCGCCGTCCGGGGGCCCCGAGGGCCACGTCCAGAAGAGAGCGCCATCGCGGATCCATAGCTTCTCGGAGCCTAGCAGGGTACTCTTCGGCCGCGGACCTCCAGCGGCCGTCCCGCGCGCGCCTCCGGAGCTCTCACGGGGGATCTTCGTACACTTCTGGCCCGTTGGGCCGGCGAATTCGGTGGGTAGGCCTCCTCTCCATTCCTGCCCCCGTTCCCCTCCTCTCCTGCTCGTCTCCTCTCTCTGTGCGTGTGAGGAGCGAGGGGAGGGCGGGGAGGGAATGGGGTTATGATGTTCCAACGTACTTTAGCCCTGATCACCAGAAACAATTTCGAGCACCAAGAAAGTACCGAAACTGGAGGGTTTTCGCGCATCGGGTCCTGGGAGGCGATGCTCGTTCGACACCGTTTCCCGTACTTTCCTGGGTGCTCGAAATTATCTCTGGGATGTGGTCCTTAAGTACGATGGGAGCAACATAAGAATGGGGAAAGGGATGTGTGTGGAGCAGTGGGGGGGAGGGAATGGAGGGAGGGAAGGGGGGGGGGGGGCGGGGGAAGAGAGGGATGGGGGCCCCTCGCCTCCCTCTTTCCCCATCCTCTTCCCCTCTCACTCCTCCTCCCTCTTCCTCCCTCCCCTCCCTTGTCCTCCCCTCCCCTCCCTTTTCCTCCTTTTTCCTCCCTCCCCTCCTTCCCTCCCTCTTCCTCCCTCCTCTCCCTCTTCCTCCCTCCCCTTCCTCTTCCCCTCTCGCTCCTCCTCCCTCTTCCTCCATCCCCTCCCTCCCGCCCCCATCCTCTTCCCCTTGGGCCCCGGCAATGCGGCGCCCCCCTCGTTCCTGGTGGGAGTCTCGCCGGCACCGGCTGCATGCGTGCGATTGCCTTGATGCTGGCCTTTCATTGTCTTGCTTAGCACCTGTGGGCGATGCCGAGGTCGCCCGCTGGGCCGCGAAGATGCTCGCGCTTCGCGCGTCGCGGTCTGGCCAAAGGAGCTGTCCAGCTCCAGAGGGGGGTAATTAGCGGCGCGAGGGTGCGAGTGCGCGAAGGTGACCGCGCGTCGCGCACCGGGGGGCGCGAGGGCGGGAAGCCCAGCGACCTCGGATGCACAGCACGCGCCCTGCGAGGGCTCCGAAGTGCTCGCGAGCCAGGTCGCACCAGCACGGCAGGTTCGCGTCGTGTCGATCACTGGCGACTCCGCCGCAGGCGTTCAACGTTGAGCGCCGCCAGTGGCTCAGACTCGGCTAGAAATTGAGTGACCGGACGTTCTGGAAGCGGCCGATGGTTCGAGGCCGAGCGACCCCCGCGGTGTCAGAAACCAACGCAGGGGTCGGCACGGCACGAGCTCGCGTGACTTGATCGGGGGCGACGGTAGGAGGGCATAGGCATAGGGGGGCTGCATCGACTTTGAATGGTTGACACGTCGACGATGCTGTATCGACGTGATATGGGGCTGTCTGCATCGACGACGTATCTCCGATACACGGGCGATGTATCGGCCATTCGAGGTCGATGCCTCCTCCCCTGCTCCTATCCCCCTCCCATCGTCGCCCCTCACTTGTCACCGAGCGCGCTCCACCGGTTTGTACAGCGCCTACTCGCAAACGCCAGACGACACGCGGCTTCTCCTGGATGTAACGGGCCGCGCATGCCGCTCGGCGGATCCGGGCCATGGGCGAGCAGTTGCTCCTGCGAGTCGTGGAGAACGCGCTGGTCCGACCTCATGGCGCACCGTGCGCGCCAGCCGTCGCGTTCGGGCCGTCGGCCCCCCCCCCCCCCCAACCAGAAGCTCGGGGACGGCAGACCGTCCCCCCCTCGCCCTGCTCCCTGGGCTCCCGCGGCCCGGCTCCTCCCGGAGGGAGGCGAGCCAGGGCGCCAGAGACAGGGGCACGGCGAGCGGGGGCACGGAGAGCGCCGATTGCCACGTTTGGCCGTGCCCCCCATTTCAGGGGGCCCTGGGCGCCGTGGACGGGGGCACAGTCCACGGGGGCATGTGGAGAAGCCCAAGCCCCCGTTTGGCGAAGCACACGTTTACGAAGCCCCGAGCGAAACAGCCAAGGAGCAGTGCGTCAGATGTAACCCAGAGGCCCAATGGAGCCTTGGTCGGAGAGGAAAACAGCTTCCATACGCCGGTCGTTGAAAGTAGGTGTCGGTGGATTCCCAGATCCCCATATGTGCTCTAGCCGCCTTCCTACTCCACGAGTCGAGCGGTTTTCCCTCTTCCTTCCTGTTCAGGAGGCGGGCGGAAACCCAATCTGCTTCTACCCACTTCTCGCGACCGACGGGTAAACCTAGTTTCTCGGCTCTCCGTGCGGACTTCTTGGATCGGCGGCGGAGCCCCCTGGAGGGCCTCGTGGGGGAGGGTGGCATCTGGTGGGGGAGGGGGCGGGGCTTGGGCCCCTCTGGGGGTCCTCCTGGAGGCCTGTTCGTTTGTCTTGGGGGCCTCTTGGGCCGTCTTGGGGGCCTCCTGGGCTGTGTCCGGTCCCTCTTTTGGGCGTCTTGGGCAGTGATGGGCCAGCCAGGGGGGCCTCGCAGCTTAGTGGTTCTTGTATACAGCAGGGCCGTTCTTGTATACAGCAGGGCCGAGAATGAAAACGGTTGGGCAACGGTTCGCCGGAACGGAAAATACGGCTCCAGGATTGAAGCTAGAGCCGAAACCGGAAATCATTCGGCGACGGATTCGGAACATTATGTCAAAACGAAGGCGGAATACAAATCGTCCGCCTTGGTTTGCGGACGCCCAGGGAGGTGAGAGCGTGAACATGTTATGAAACCGTACCAGGATCACAGATTTTTGCCCCTTGAGGCCATCTTGGGGGTTCTCTTGGCGCCTCTCGAGGCGTCTTGGGGCCCTCGTGCACCGTGTGATGGCCATCTTGGGCGTTCTTGAGGCCGTTTGGGCGTGTTGGTGCCCTTCTTGAGCCGTCTTGGAAGGCATCTTGTGGCACCGTGGAGGCCACGTGTGGTGGACTTCCTGGCTCCGCGCGCCCCGGAGGTGCGTTGAGGGGTTCGCGGGGGATTTCCCTTTTCTCTCCCCTGAGCAAGACTTGTTAGGGGGGGGGGGACAGCCAAATGTCTCACATGCCTTTTTACCCCCAACAGCCGCTCCCCTTCCTCCTCCCCTCTCCTCCAGCCCTTCTTCCTGCTCGTCTTCGTACTTTCGCACTACCTGTAAATTGATGAAAGGATGCCAAGCCCTCACCCGAACAGGCCTGCTGCACCTCCGTGTCCTCGAGAAGGGGCTTGCGCCAGGTCGCGCGAAGCTGGCCAGTGATTCAACATCCCGAAGCGATGAGGAGGAGTCGCGCGCAGCGTCTCGCCAAATCTTCGAGGAGTCGCCAATCTCGAGGACGAGCAGGAGGACGAGGAGGAGGAGGAGATCTGCCCCCCTCGAGGAGTCGCCAATCTCTTCGCCTCCTTCTTCGCCACTTCTCGGAGGGGGTGGGGCGCAGAACACCCTCTGGGAGCCGCGCGCCTCGGCGCTGCAGGCTGTGGCGGACTGCGAACGGGATGCTGGGCGTGATCTTCCCTGGGCAGGAGGCCTGCACTTGTTGGTTTTGCTGCCAATGTATGATTATAGAAGTGTGTATACAAGTCGAAGACGCCTACGGCGAATCACCGCCGCCCCTCTGCCTTTTTGGAAACGCCTCTGTGGCCGAACATTGTGGCCAGAGGCCTGCCAAGCTATCGGACCATGTGTTCCCCGAAAACGTTTGGAAAGCGTTCGGGGAACACGATGGGCGAGGCTGGGCCGACTTGGGCCTTTTTTGGGGTGCTCCAGGGCCGTCTTGGAGGCCATCTTGAGCGTCTTGGAGGCCTCTTGGGCCGTCTTGGGGGCCTCTTGGGGCCGTCTTGGGTCGTTCTGGGGCCATGCTGGACCCCAAAACTGCCCAAGGGGGCCCCAAGACGGTCCAAGAGGCGCCCAAGACGGCCCACGAGGGCCCCAAGACGGCCCCAAGAGGGGGACCGCGAACCGAAAAGGTTTGCCTTTCGCCCCAAGACGCTCCCAGGAGGCCCCAAGAGCCCCCCCAGAAGCCCCAAGAGGCCCCCAAGAGGCGTCCCAAGAGGCCACCAGGGGGCCAAAATCATTGCTTTCCGATGGGAAAAGGTGCATTTTTAACATACAAGGCTTTTCGGCTTTCACGGCGTTGAAGACTGTCCAAGAGGCCCCAAACACCGCCCCAAGACTGCCCAAGAGGCTCCAAAGAGACCCCCACCCCAAAACGGCTCAAGAAGGCGCCAAGACGGCCCAAGAGGCGCCCAAGACGGCCCAAGAGGGCCCCAAGACGGCCCCAAGAGGGGGACCACGAACCGACAAGTGTAGCCTTTCGCCCCAAGAAGCTCCCAGGAGGCCCCCAGAGCCCCCCAAGAAGCCCCAAGAGGCCCCCAAGAGGTTCTCAAGATGCCCCCGAAAGGGCCCGAAAAGGGCCCCAATGGGACTCCCAAGAAGGCCCAGAGACGCCACATAAAGAGCGATCGGTGACGCAAAAAGCTCTTCACACCAAGGCTCCCAAGAACGAACGGTGACGTAAACAAGCTGATAAGACCAAGGCTCCCAGCAGAGAGCGGTGACGTAACAAGTTCCTGACACCAAGGCCCAACCAAGGCTCAGGAACGGGCGGCAGCGCAACAATCTCTGAGCACCAAGGCTCCCAAGAGCGAGGGGTGATGTAAGAAGCTCTCAACGCCAAGTCTCCCAGTATGAACGGTGGTGTGAGTAATTTCGGTTTCTCTTTCTGAAGCGCTCTTTCCGTTTCTGTGCCGGGCCAGGTAACTGAAAGAGCGAGGTACGAGTGATGACGTTGTGTTTTGGGCGAAGGCCCTAAGGGGGGGTTCCAGGGGGGGGCGTAAGCCGAGTGGATGGGTTTAATGGTCGTTTTGGGGGTTTTCCTTTTGGTTTTTGCATGTTTTTTTTCAGAATTTCTCCTTTTTCCCGTCCTAGAAGAGCCCAAGACCGCCCAAGACAGCCCCAAGACGTCCCAAGAGCCTCCAAGACGCCCCAAGAGGCGCCCAGGAGGCGTCCCCAGAGGGCCCCCAAGAGGCCCAAATCATGGATCTCCCATAGGAAAACTAACATTTTTGGCATATACGGCTTTTCGGCTTTCACGGCGGTGACGACGGCCCAAGAGGCCCCCAAGATCGCCCCCAAAGCAGCCCAAGAGGCTCCCAAGAGGCCCCCTAAACGGCCCCAGAGGGTCCCAAGACGGCCCAAGAGGCGCCCAAGACGGCCCCAGAGGGCCCCAAGACGGCCCCAAGAGGGGGACCGCGAACCGAAAAGTCTAGCCTTTCGCCCCAAGACGCTCCCAGGAGGCCCCAAGAGCCCCCAAGAAAACCGAAGAGGCCCCCAAGAGGGCTCCAAGAGGCCTCCAAAAGGGTTCTAAAAAGGCCCCAATAGAACGATCGGTAACGCCACAAGCTCCTCACACCAAGGCTCCCAAGAGCGAACGGTGACGTAAACAAGCTGATAAGACCAAGGCTCCCAGCAGACAGCGGTGACGTCACAAGTTCCTGGCACCAAGGCCCAGCCAAGGCTCAGGAACGGGCGGCAACGCAACAATCTCTCAACCCCAAGGCTCCCAAGAGCGAGGGGTGACGTAACCAGCTCTCAACGCCAAGGCTCCCAGTACGAACGGTGGTATGCGTAATTTCGGTTTCTGTTGCTGCAGCGCTCTTTCCGTTTCTGTGCCGGGCCATGTCTAATGGCTTTCGGCCCATCCCGCCACCGTGCTTGGGTTGTGGGATGTGAAGCCTGTTGGATGTTTGTTGGGTTCTCGTGGGAGGCCTCTCGGGGGTCTCTTGGAGACAGGTTGAGGCCTCTTGGGCGCCGTTTCAGGGCCACTTGGGGCCTCTTTTGGTCCTCTTGGGGGCCTCTTGGGGGTCTCTTGGGGGCCTCTGGGGCCTCTTGGGCGCGTCTTGGGGCTGTTTGGGGGCATCTTGGGGCGGAAGGCTCGGATTTTCAGTTAGCGATTCATCTCTTGGGCCCCTTTTGGGGCCGTCTTGGGCCCTCTTGGGTCGTCCTGGGCGCCTCTTGGGCTGTCTTTGGGCGCTCTGAGGCCGTCGTGGGGCCCTCTTGGATGCCTCTTGGTTTGTTTCTTCAAAAACGTCCTGGGCGTTTTTGTTGCCGTTTTGTATGTTGGTCTCTTGTCAAGGTATAAACGCTATACAAAGCATGCGACGTTTTGTTAAAGCGTTTTTCTCTGCGTCGTTTAGCGTGTTCAGGCCCATCGCTGTGGATCTTCATCTGTTTAGCGTTCGTTTTGCTTTCTTGTCAAAGGCTGCTCCTTGTCTTCACTGTCGTTTTCGCTCCTGTTCTCTTATTCCTGCCGCCTTCCGTCCCTCCCGCTCCGCGCGCAGAGCGCATAGCTAAAAACGCCCTCCCCAACGCCCTAGTACTAACACTGGTCTAACCCCGGCGCCGAAAAGGCCCAAAGGCCCCGCGACCAGCCAGCAGCGACAATCTCTTGATTTGAAGCACTGAAAAGAGCTGAAACACAACAACAAATTATTCGTGTTTTAGTGTTGATAGTTTTCTTTTTGAGACCTGAAAGCGCTTAACAAATGACTCCCAACGCCGAGTAAAAAACGGTAAAACAACGCCCAGGGCATCTTTACGAAGAACCAGGCCTCTTGGGACGCCTTGAGGTGGTTTGGGGGGTCTCTTGGGCCGTCCTGTAGTGTCGGAAAGCCGAACAGGCGAGAACGCCCAAATCCTCCCAAAGCTGGAGGAAAGTCATTTTTTTTACCTCTCGGGGCCCTCTTGGGAGGCCTCTTAGAGGCCTCCTGGGGCGTCTTGGAGGGCTTGGGCCAACTCGAGGCCATCTTGGGCTTCTTGGAACTATTTTCGGCGACTCGGGGCACTCTGGACCGTCTTGGGGGCCTCGAGGAGCTCTCGTGACCCGTCCCGAGGCCCTCTTGGGCCCGAAAAGTCACGCAGCGAGACGCGACGAGCTCCCGACCAGACGCGAGAAGCCCCCAGGAGATTTTGCCGTATTGGCTCCAGGCCCCCTGGGAAGTTCCCCAGGAGTGAGGACCGAGGCTCAGGGGACTGGGCAGAGGACCTGAGGACACGCCCACTCCGTGCCCAGCGGCACGTTGGCGGATGTGTGCGTGTATACATATTCATGTGTATGGATTGATGTTCTGATCATGTAGTGCCAGTTTGGGGCCGTCTTTGTCCCTCTGGGCAATCTCGGGGGCCCCTTGGCCCAAGGGGCCCCCGAGATTGCCCAGAGGGACCACAGAATAGCCCCAAGGGCCTTGGGGCTGTTCTGTGGCGGTCTGGGGGCCCTGCTGGGCTGTCTTGGGGCCCTCTTGGGCCGTCTGGAGCTCCTCTGGGGGTCCTCTGGGAGCGTCTTGGGTCCGTCTTGGGCCCCTCTTGGGCCGTCCTGGGCTCGTCTTTGGGCCCTCTTGTGCGCCCATTGGGCCATCTCGGAGGGATCCTGGAGGCCTCTTCGGCCGTCTCGAGCGCCCTTGAGACCGAGTGCCGAGTATGCGGAAATGGCGCCGAACCTAAGGAGCACCAATAAGGTTTGCCTCCCGGGTGCCTCGTGGGAGTCGTCTTCGGGCCCCTTGGGCCATCTGGGGAGCCCGCTGAGCCGTCGAGTGGCCATCTTGGGCCCATTTTGGGCCACCTTGGGCCCATCGTGGCCGTCTTCGGGAGCTCGTCGGGCCCTCCTGAGGCCTCCTGGGGCTCTCCGGGGCCGTCTTGTGGCTATCTGGGGCCGTCTTGGGCCTTTCTGGGGCGCTCCAGAACCAGCCGTCCCCGCCGCGATCGAAGTTGTGCTGGATCGGTTTTCTATGTATACAAGTGCCCTCTGTATCAGTACAGCAAGATCGGTGAGGCATTCCAGAACTGGCCTCGCCTTCGAGGGTCGAAGGTGTTGCCATCTCTTCCTCGACGGAAGGTGGCGAAAGGTCGGCGAAAGGCGGTGGAAGTAAACGGGGGCGGCTCAGCCGCCGGAAGCCGGCGGTTTTGAACTATGCATTCCCAAGATGGTGGTATCGGCCACATATGTATATAGGCAGAGGCAGATGTATGCATATTGCACGTTGTATATCAATGCAGGTATATATATTTCTTGCTTGTCGGTACATACATATACACATGTATTGATGTATGTATATATATATATATATACACATGTATCGGAGTAGGATTGGGGAGGGCCCGAAACCGCGATCACTGGTTTGCATGGCGGTCTGGGGGGGCCTTGAGGGCTCCAAGAGGGCCCAGAAGGGGCTCCAGACCCCCCCCACAGAGGCCTCCAAGCTGGCCCAAGAGCCTCCCAAAGCTACCCAGGTTGTCTGGAAGATGGCTGAAGAGCGCACTGAGATGGCCTCCAGACGGGCCACGAGCGCTCGAAGACAGCCCAAGATTGCTCCCAGGCCACCAGGGCCCTCAAGACGGTCCAAAAGGCCGCCGAGAAGGCCCCCCAAGGGCAAAAATCAAGCATTTCCGATTGAAAAGCGTACAGTTCTGGGTTATTCGCTTTTTCACTCCTAGTGGCGCGCGCGGCGCCTCAGCAGCGAGGCCCCGGCCTGGGGGCGCTGGCCCTGCAGCGCTCCCGGGGGCACGTCCTCGAGTCGAGCCTGGCCGCCTGGCACCCGCAGGGGCGCTGCCCCGCGACGGAGTCGCTGCTGTTCCCGGGCCTGACCGTGGCGAGCCCGCGGCGCTCGGGCGGCGGCCGCGCCGGCGGCGGCGGGAAGGCGGCGCCCAGGTGCTGAGGCGACCTCCGCCGCCATGGCCTCCGGCGCGTGGGCCAGGGTGCGAGGCCTATTATAGAGGGTACCGCCGCCAACGTCGGCAGCTGGATGGCGGATGCTACCAGCAGGGTGGCGTAGGCTGCTCGTACTGCCGCCGTCGTTGTCAGACGTGTGGCCTGTCCCCGTCCTAAGGTGCAGTGCCGTGGGCGGCAGACAGGGCGACACAGGCCGTCTCATGGGCTCCAGGCGGTGTAACTTCTGCCGCCTCGCGGCGCCGTGTCGCCGATTTTTACCGACTGCCTTTTTTGATTTATGTTTTTGGTCTGTCTGCCTGTTGTTGCTGCCCCATCGGCGTCACCAACGTGTGGCGCTTCACTGTTGGCGGACTGGCGCCATTGTATTGGCTCTCTCGTCGGCTCTGGGTGTTAGTTCGCCTGCTCCCGAAGAGTAGCACAGTACTTTCATGGCGTGCTCATGCAACGAGGCTTACGGAAACCGACTTGTAAGTGGCGGGTGAACGTGACCAATTGACAGTCACGGCCCATGGCTCGCGGCAGTGGGCTCGCTCCTGGATTCTATGTCCAAAACTTTTAGTGCACACCCAAAGGCGATTCGTGTATCGTCATTGTCGCCGTCTATCCAAGCTCGACTGGCAACGCACATCATGGCTGCCAGAGCTTGTACCACGCAGTTTTTACCAGCGCAAGCGGAACCCTTTGGCAGAGGTGGGAGGAAGAAGACGGACGCAGGGATGGCACGACAGGATAGCGCGGGGAGGGGGGAGAAGGGGAACGCAGGGAAGGACGCGTGCTGGGCCCTCATCGGGAGAGCAGCTCGGACCCCGCACACAGTGTGTACTTGCATCCTGAGTGTTGTTTATCAGTTGCAAGCATTGTCTGGGGAGCATCCGCGCAAGCAATCTTACTGGTGCATGGGCACAAAGGTAGGCCTCACAGCTGCAAGAGTTCGCCTCCGTTAGCAGCTACTTGCTGGTGCCTGTGATTTGATGAGTCTGTCACAGGTGACCATCACTGCGACTGCTGCTGCAGTGACTTTTGTACCTCAGAGCTTCGCAGACCCCAACGGCAATAATCGTCTGCAGGGTTCGAAGCACACTGAGAATACCCGATCAGGGTGCCTTACGCCGCATCGCCTGCCAGAGCTTACCGGCAGAGCACGGCGAGCTCTAATAGGCAGCAGGTGTTAAAGCACACTGGGACCCCCCGAGCAGGGACACCCACGCTGGGTCGCAGAGCACGGCGAGCTGTAATTGATCGATCGCAGGTATGGAATCACATTGGCCAGCTGCTGCAGAGTATCGTTTCCCCCTCCTCACGCTCCTGCTGTCCTCTGCCTGGGCCTATGTTTTCTCCTTCTCGCGAAGCGTTTCTTCTCGAACCGGCTTTTCAGCTTACGTTTTCATGGTGAGTGCTGCACAGCAGAGGCAGACTGGCTGTGCTTGCAGCCTTTGTCAGTAGCCCCCCTTCGCAATTCAATGCGTCATGCAACTAAGTTTCGCCCAGCTCCGCACCCGATCCTGTGTTAGCTCCTTGTAGAGACCGCGTGCAGCGTTCCCGCACCCTTCGAGCTGCCCTACACTGCCGTCTTGGACATCTTGGCGCTTAGACGCGGGATCCGGTCAGAGAAAAAAAATGACCCTCGACGACCCAAGAGGCTCCCCAGAGGGCCCGAATTCGACCTGCAGAGAGCATCAAGCAGCACAAAGATCTCCAAGACGGCCCAAGAGAGTCCTCAGGGGCCCCGAGAGGGCAACTGGAGGATCCTTGCATGGTCGGAGAGGTCCCCAAGAGCGCCCCAAGACGGGCTCAGCTCCCCATGACGGGCGAAGAGGGACCCAGGATGGCCGAAATAGGCCCCCAGACGGGCCAACAACGACCCAAAAGGCCGCGAAGAGGGCCCCAAGGGCCACAAGAACACAACTTCCTTTAGAGAAGCGCAGATTTCGGGAATACTCGTTTTTGGAGTCCTAACGGCGGCCACGTCGGCCCAACGGCTCCCCAAATCGGCCCCAAACAGCCCAAGAGGCCCCCAAGAGGGCCCCAAAGACGGCCTCAAGGGGGCTTCGAGAGGAACAAGAGAGCTCCCAAACGGCCCAAGCGAGTGCCCAGGGGGCCGGGGGGGGCCACCAGAGGATCCCTACATGGTTGGAGAGGGCCCCACGAGGGCCTTCAAGATAGGCTCAGCTCCCCATGACGTGCCAGGAGGGACCAGGGACGGCCGAAAGGGGCCCCCAGACGGGCAACAGAAAGGCCCACAAGGATTCCTTGAAGACGATCCAAGCTGCCGCCGATCCCAAAGGGCAGCAAGTACAATTTCCGATGGAAGAGCATGCATTTCGGGGATATTCGCTTTTCAATCCTATTAGCGGCCACGTCGGCCACAGAGGTTCCAAAATCAGCCCCCCGCCGCCCGAGAGGCCCCCAAGAGGGCCCCAAAATGGCCTCAAGACAGCTCAAGCAGCACAATAGAGTTCCAAGACGGCCCAAAAGAGTCCCCAGGGGGCCCCAGTTGGGCACCAGATAATAAACCCTACATGGTCGGAGGAGACCCCAAGAGGGCCCCAAGATGTGCTCAGCTCCCCATGACGGGCCAAGAGGGACCCACGCAGTACACATTCGCAGCGAGAGATGGGTTCGCCCTTCATCCCGTTGCAAACTTCAACGATGACGATTTCCATGGGGGCCAGCCGTGTACAGTGTACAGGAATGATGGTTTGGTCTTCGCGCGTCCACCATGGACACCTGCTCACAGTTTATTCAAAGTTGCGCTGACGCGTCGGATTTCCTGACAATTCATTTTGGGATCGCGCACTCGCTGAGGAATTTCTTGCAATTTATTCACAGAACACCTTCACAATGTTCTCAGGGTCCATGCTGTCGCCTGAATGTTCAAGGAGGAGGAGGAGAAGGAAGAGGAGGAGCAGGAGGAGGAGGAGGAAGATGGAGTCGGGAGGAGGGAGCTCCCGCGCCCCTGCGAGGTCGTGTGCCCCCTCGGTGACAGGGACATCATCGCCCGGGTGGCCCGCCGCGAGGACCTCTGGGCCCCACCCCGCTCGGCACCGCGGTGGGCCGCGGGCTGCGCGCGCGCGGCTTCCGCGCCGTCGGGGGGAATGGGGAGGGGGGGGGGCTGGGGGCTGACGGGCTCGGCTTCAGGGCTGGACCCACACGCTGTTTTGCTGGTTTTCGGCTCTGTTTTGTTTTTCCGTCTTCGCAGGGAGGTACAGGAAAACAGGTAGAGCAAAACGAACAGCAAAACGAAACTAGCCTAGCGAAGGACCCAACCATATGCAGTTGTGAGTATCGCAGTTGCGAATATCGTCTTCGGTGGCGCTCCCTACGGGGCCAGGAACCGCATGAGGGGCGCGCCGAAATGTGTGCCGGGGTACACAACACGAACGAAGACGATGGGTCTGAGTACAAGAGACTGAGCGCGGCTGAGTCTGAGCGCGAGTGAGTCTGGTTGTAAATGAGTCTGCGTGCGAGTGAATCTAGTTGCATGAATGCGAGCATGGCTACACCTAGTGTAACTGTATATGAATGTGAACGGTTTGGGTATGCCTGGTATGAGTGCTCGTGGCACTGAGCGTGGCTGCCACCGGGAGCTCCCCCAGAAACCCCGATGACAGCGCCCGCGCGCCGCGACGCCCACGTCGAAACGTCGTCACGAGGATCGCGCCCGCTTCCTTCCCTGGTTTTTTCCCACATGTTTCGTGGGATTTTGGTTCTCTTCCCACCCGCGTCGCACCCGCGTCTCCTCCCACACACCTCCCTTTTACCCTCCTCCTCTTCCCCTCCTCTCCATCGCCTCGCCCCAGCGTAACGCATGCACGGCACGTGGGGTTCTGGCAACAAATGCACGGCACGTTTATGAGACACGCGTCTCGATACATCCGCGACCGCATCATACACATGACACATATTGGGTTCTCATATGAGACATGCGCCCAAATGCAGCTTCACACTCATCATACGCATGACGCGCATACCACACAACGCATGCGCACAAGATTTGCCATGCGTGGCACGCGTGGCACTTTCTCGACACCACACGGGGTGCGCAGGGGGTGATCCCTCACTGCGGTCTCTATCCGTCCCAGGGTCGCGTGGCGTGGCAGGCGCGGCATTTTCTCCACACCGCAAGGGGGGCGCAGGGGGTGGTCCCTCACCGCGGTCTCTATCCGTCCCAGGGTCGCGGGGCGTGGCACGCGTGGCACTCTCTCGGCACCAGAGGGGGTGCGCAGGGGGTGGTCCTTCACCGCGGTCTCTATCCGTCCCAGGGCCGCGGGGCGTGGCACGCGTGGCACTTTCTCGACACCAGAGGGTGCACATGCACAGGGGGTGGTCCCTCACCGCGGTCTCTATCCGTCCCAGGGTCGCGGGGCGTTGCAGGCGTGGCATTTTCTCGACACCAGATGGGGGTGCGCAGGGGGTGGTCCTTCACCGCGGTCTCTATCCGTCCCAGGGCCGCGGGGCGTGGCAGGCGTGGCACTTTCCCGACACCAAAGGGGGTGCGCAGGGGGTGGTCCGTCAGCGCGGTCTCTGTCCGTCCCAGGGCCGTGGGGCGTGGCAGGCGTGGCACTCTCTCGACCCCAGAAGCGGGGGCGCAGGGGGTGGTCCTTCACCGCGGTCTCTATCCGTTTCAGGGTCGCGGGGCGTGGCACGCGTGGCACTCTTTCGACGCCAGAAGGGGTGCACATGGGGGCAGGCTTCGCCGTTGCATTCCATCAGTTGCACGAGCAGGGGTTTGCGCAGCATCCAGATTGGTAAACACTTTGGCTCAAGCGGGCTCGGAGCGCCAGGGTACCCATTCGAAGGTAGTAGTTGTTTGTTGTTTGGTGCGCGCATACCATTGAATGTGTATGTTGGGTTCCTCGGTCGTGCAATTCCCAACCGTCCTGTGGTGTTGGGTCCTCGTTTTGAAGAGACAGCGCCCCGCGTCTCCTCCTCCTCCTCCTCCTCCCTCCTCCTCCCCCTCCTCCCCCTCCTCCCTCCTCCCCCTCCTTGCCTAGGCTCTTTGCATGTTTCTGTTTCGGCACACCCCTCACATGTTTCGTGACCCCATGGGGAGCTCCTCTAATAGGTTCCCATTGGCGCAGCTCGGATGGCGCCGCCGCCCCATTTTTTGGCACATCCCACACACACGCTTCGTGGCCCCATAGGGACCTCTTCCGCACGCCCCAGTGGCGCAGCTCGCATGGCGCCGCCGCCCCATTTTGGCACACCCCT